TAGACTATAACATCGTTTGTCTTGTTAGCAATAGAAAGATTGATTCACTCAGGTGCTCTCGGACCACAGGGTCCCAGTTGGACCAGGTGGGTAATGTATTGAAGTCTTTTTGTAGAGCAAGGGTAGGCAGCCGTACCCTGTTCTGGAATATGCACCGAACGAATAGTAAGCCTAAAATTAGAGGACATGGGGGCATCTTTTTTTTACGATCGATCCACCGCAGAGAGAAGAGAAGACAGAAAGAAGGGGCGGGATGGGGGGATCGTGTGTGGGAGGCAGCCGGGCGAATCCAAGATGGGCAAAAGAGTGACACATGAAAATTTGAATACAGTGGATATTATTGGATTGGCGATGCTGGGGGGAGGAGTGGCCCCTGAAGGCGCGGTAGGCAGCGGTCAGGCTACAGTGGGTTTCCTGGAGAAGAGGCGCTGGAGTGGGCGTCTGGAGTCTGGAGTCTGGAGTTTACAGTGGACTTGTGGTGGGCTCACAGTGGGCTCTCAGTGGGCTGTAGGGCAGCTCTGGATCTGGCCTTTCCTTGATGGGCGTAGCTGGAAAGAAGTTTGCTGGAATAGAAGAAGATCAAGATGCATCAATCGACCAACATGATCGATCTCTGCCCGAGCCTTTCATCGCATCGCGAGCGTACTGATCAGAATGACGCCAATCCAGTGGCAATCGGCGCAAGAGTCGATGCTGAGCCTGGGCCAAGCAGGGTAATAAATAAAAGGCCCGTTGGGTCTCGGCTGACGCTTGGCTGCTGGCCGTGGGCGACGCTTGGGGCAGCGCCTGGGCAAAAGGTCTCCCTGAAAGCAGAAGGATTCCCTCTGGATGGCGTTACAGGCTCACGCATGACTGGCTCCGGGGCGGATGGTGAGAGAACGCCATCAAAGCACACAATGATCCTTCCATCCGCTCCATGTCTCACTCTCCAGCAGCATCAGCATCAACACGAGCGTCGCCGTCAACCAAATGGGCGAGGAGAGGAACTTGTGCTTCTGCATTTCGTGCGATGCCAAGCTCTGACGCCAACTCCACTGAATAAAGAACCTTCTAAATGCGGCCAGCCGGCTCTGATCGCCCACCGTAGCGTCGCCACGGCTCTCGCAGACTGCCTGGATCAACGCTTTGTCGGCTCTCTGGCGTCACTGCCGCCTGCGATGGCGTAAACGGCCCTGCCCCTGTTCCCAATCTTAATTGGTGGTGCCTGCAGCCCTCGACGTGCCATCGCAGGCCTAGTCTCGATGGATGCGTACCACCGCCGGCCTCACATGCCCTCGTGGGACGCCTGCTGCGACGTAGCATAATTCTCCCGACAAATGCTTAAAAAGCCTGATGCGACGATCGTCCGCCCGAGGGGAAAATAATGGGACAGTGTTGTCTTACCTTCTTTCTCCCCTCTCTTCCCCCCCGAGCCTGTCTCGTTGTCGAGCCCACAGAGCGGAGTGACACTATCCGTTCTTTGTCTAATATCTAATTCTTGGATTGTGGAAAGACGACTCCTAGCTGGTGGTAAATAGGAAGAGCCCATCATGGCCAGCGACGCCAAGTTCACCGACCAGAATGCCCCGGTCACCAACACCAAAACCCGCGCCAGCTCTGACGAGGAGCATGCGCGTGGCTCCAACGACGAGTCGTCGGTCATCGATGCCCAGACCTACGCCTATTCCGAGGACCGCAAGATTGGTGTCACCGGTGCCGTGTTTCTGATTCTCAACAAGATGATTGGAACTGGAAGTACGTTTTCTGTCTATGGCTTCATGCTCATGATCCATCGAAATCAACCTGTCTCGGGCTGTTCCCTCCCGAATACCAACTAACCCTCGTTCAAACAGTCTTCTCCACTCCTTCCAGCGTCTTCGCGGCCACAGGCTCCGTCGGTGTCGCCTTCATCCTCTGGCTCGTTGGTGGAATCCTCACCTTCTGCGGTCTGAGCGTCTTCCTCGAGTTCGGTCTCGCCATCCCCCGTTCCGGCGGTGAGAAGAACTACCTGGAGCGCGTCTACCGCAAGCCCAAGTACCTCGCGACTTGCGTCCTCGCCTCCCAGATGATCCTGCTTGGTTTCTCCTCCGGAAACGCCCTCGCCTTCGGACGGTACATTCTCTACGCCTCTGGCTGGTCCTCAGTTGACGGCTGGCCGGCTCGTGGTCTCGCCATCGTCTGCGTCACCTTCGCCGTCGTCCTCCACGCCACCCTGCCCAAGTGGGGTGTCCGTCTCTTCAACGTCCTTGGTGTCTTCAAGGTCGGCGTCGTTCTCTTCATCATCTTCTCTGGTTTTGCCGCTCTCGCCGGCCGCCGACTCGTCCCAGACCCCCACAACTTCGACAACTCCTTCGCCATCGAGGTCGGAGACGGCTACGGCGGCGGCGGTGTCTACGCCTACTCCAACGCCCTGCTCAACATCATCTACAGTTACAAGGGATGGGAGAACGCAAACTACGTCGTCTCCGAGCTCAAGAACCCGCGCAAAACCCTCGCCATCGCCGCGCCCCTTGCCGTCGGCGGCGTCACCATCCTCTACCTCCTCGCCAATGTTGCCTACTTCGCCGCCATCCCCAAGTCCGAGCTGGCCAAGTCTGAGGTCCTAGTGGCCGCTCTGTTCTTCAAGAATGTGTTTGGCGACAGCGCCGCCGCTCGCAGCTTGCCCGTCTTTGTCTGCTTGAGTAACTTGGGTAATGTGTTGGCTGTCAGCTTTGCGCATGCTCGTTTGAACCAGGAGCTTGCCAAGGAGGGTATGCTGCCTTGGAGCCGATTCTGGGCGTCCAACAAGCCCTTCAACGCCCCTGCTGCATCTGTAAGTTGACAGTCCAAATTTGATTCTCGTCTCAGTGATAGGAGATGACTAACACTTTATAGCTCTTTATTCACTGGCTCATTACCGTCATCATCCTGGTTGCTCCTCCTGCCGGCCCAGCTTACAGCTTCATTGTCAACTTGTATGTCAATAGTATCATTCGTGTGATAGATTATGTTGCTGACGTTAAACTAATAGGTACACCTACCCCGGTGCCTGGATCAACGCCTTTGTCGGTGCCGGTCTCGTCTATCTCCAGTGGAACAAGGCGGAGAACTGGTCTTCTCCATGGCACACCTACCTCCCCATCTCAGTCCTCTGGTTCCTCTCCAACGTCTTCCTCGTGCTTGTTCCCTTCATCCCCCCCATCGGCGACTGGAACGCGGACGGTTACCCGTAAGAAACCCCTAGCCTCCTCTTTTTCTTTTTTTGGACAATCTTGCTAACAGCGACAAATAGATACTACATCTTCCCCGTCGTCGGTGTCCTGGTTCTCATCCTCGGTGGTGTCTACTGGGTCTTCTGGACCATCGTCCTCCCCCGCATCGGTGGCTACCAGGTTGTTGCCGAGCGCACATTCGACGAGGATGGCGTCGAGGTTGTCAGGTACCGCAAGGTCAAGCTGGCCTAGGCCGGGAGCCGGAACGTTTGTTGAAGCGACATGGATAACCCGTATGCCGTAATTAGTTGGTCGTCACGACCTTTCACTTCCTCAAGATACCAGACTTTGCATCTAGTCAAACTCAGCTTAGCCTCGTTTTCTTTAATAATAGAGTATCTGCCCTCCGGTGGCTGTGATATTTGAATACGGTTACATCAATTCGTAGCACCCGGCAAGGATCTAAACCTTTAAACCTGCTGGCGTAGGATATGCTCGACTGCTTCATCTACCCCATGAACCACAACAGTAGGCCGAATATCCAACGCCTCGCTCAGCCCGTCAATCCACCCCGTCTCACCCCTATCAACCCACACACTCGACATACCCGCCGCCACAGCGCCGAGGGCATCAAACGGGTTCGAGCTCACCAGCCACACCTTCTCCGGGGTATCTTGCCGGCTAACCGTCGCTACCATATGCTGATACGTCTTGGGGCTCGGCTTGTAAACGCCGAGCCGGTCGACGCTCACGATCCGCGCTGCGCTTACCGTGTCGGGAGAGGACGCAGTGGCCAGGCCGCGCGACGTCTCAACGGACGACGTGATCATGGGCTCGGTGCCGTTCGAAAAGATCCACGCTTCCAGTGTCTGAGAATTGGAGATGAGCTCCAAAGCGGCCTGGACGTCGGGGAATGCGTCGAGGCCGTTGTAGGCTTTCATTATGGCCTGCTCCTGCGCCGGGGTGATCTGGACATCGGCCTCGGCGGCAGCTTGGTGGAAGGAGCATCGGGTGAGCACATCAAATGGGCGGTACATGCCTGCGAAGCTGTCAGAAATCCACAAGTTGATGATACATTCTTGAGCCTACGTACCCATGCTGTTGCTGCGCCAGGTGTACTCGAGTTGGTATCGCCTAGCCTGTGAGGCGATCACTTTGGCCTTTTCCGGGCCATAGAAGCCCCCCAGTTCTCGAGAGATGGACTCGGTGGACAGGATGGTCCCGTAGAGATCAAATGCTATGATTGTCTTGGCCATGCTGGGTGATGTTTGAGAGGCAGCGTTGAGTTCCTTTCAAAGGCTGGCCTTCCAGGCTATATATATACTCTGTGACAGTTCCGGATACCCCGCGCGCTCTCCATTCTAGGCGGCGATCAGCGCTAGAGCGCTTATAAGCATAGCCGGGGCTGGAGAGGAACAACCGAAGAGCTGGAGGCCATTGTGTCGGTTTGGAAAAACACCACCAGCGATTCACATAATGTGAACCTGTGTGTGTGAGCCGGGCTTGTTGTCCACTGCCATATTCCCACGAGGTCTTGGAGAGACCAGCAAGAGCCCAGGCCACTATGGTTAGGTGAACCTGGCCTCCGGGGAAAGGTAAGTGATGGGCAGAAAAACTGCATTTCATAATTCACAAAATTCTCTCGTGGCGGCCTTTGATTGGGCACCCATATGCAGGCAGCTCGTGATCTCACTGAGTGTGGCTGTGGTATTCAGAGGCTGAGCCTGGTCGTCCATGCTTCCTGATTTCTTCTCCTTCTCCATCTTTTCAGCTCAACAAACACATCCCTAAAAGAATCGCGACAAAGAAGACAAAAGCATCAATTGTCCAATGGACCCAGCAGCGGGCAGCGGCAGCCGGTCAGAGTTCTGGCAACTGGCTTGGGCGAGATTGCCGCCCGCCAAAGTTCAGGAACTGCAGGCTTTGTCAAAGGGCCATAATGCGCCCGCTTCCTCCAATCAAGACGTCGACGATATTCTAGAATTGGCTAGGGAACAGAAAGTGGCTTGCGAAAGTAAAGAATGGATATTAAAGCTGGGTTCACGAAGTCTCAAAATACGAACTGGTCTCTCAAATATCATCGATTGGCTTCAAAAGTTCAAGGAGGTCGGCGACATCGCCGTCAATTTTGACCCTGTTCATGCGGCGCTCCCTTGGGCCGCTTTTCGACTTCTCTTGCAGGTGTGTGTCGTATCTTCCGTTGAGATTGAGGCTCCTGAGACCAAAAAGTACACCCTTTGGATCTCTGAACCCAGCTAACAGACGCACCAGGCAGCCACTACGGATCGGGATTCCATGGAGGCCATTATCACTGTTCTGGAGCTTGTTGGCCGCATTATTCAGCATGGGAGAGTATTTGAACAATTACACATCTTGGCCTCCGAGAATGCTCACGACGACGACGAGGTCCTAGACGGGTTAAAGAAAACCGTGGTTGACCTATACTTAGCCGTTTTGAAGAGTTTGGTCTACTGCTGTACTCGGCTCAGCCAAAGTACTGGGCGCCGCTCCTTGAGCGCATTTCTGAAACCCCAAGAGGCCGAGGCTATAAGACAGAAGTTGACGAAACGTTGGAATATCGTCGAAGACAACGCACGATCCCTAAGAGGTCTTCGCATTGTACAAACATTTGCCGAAATTAAAGGTCATCTTCCTGAAGTTTTACAAACTCTGAGAGACCTTAAAGATGTCTCCAAGATTCTGGTCAAGATGGAAGAGAATGAACTCTTTCGAATACTTGACAATATTTCAACGATCCGAGTCGGAAGTCAGCATAAATCGGTACATGATCGCAGGACGAAGGGCACTGGAGAATGGCTCATTCTAGCTCCGGAATTCCAAGAGTGGGAGACAGACGAATATTGTCCAATTACTTTGCTATATGGCTCACGTATGACTTATGGCTCCCTCCCTAAAATCAGTTGGGCCTTTGACTAATAGTCGCAGCGGGAGCTGGCAAGACTTTCTTGATATCTCGAGTCATCGACCACATCAAGGAGCGGCTTGAGGGTAGTGAGTCGAACTGTGGATTGGCATATTTTTATTGCGACCGCAATGACATCGAACGACGGCAACCGATTACCATTTTAAGCAGTCTCGTTCGCCAGCTGGCTTCGCCTATTGGGAGAATCGGCGAAGTCCATCAGTATATCAAGGAGCTCGACAAAAAACTTCGATCCGAGTGCTTAAAAATGGACCTAAAACTATGCCAGGATACATTGGCACAGCTTGCGGCATCTTATCAATGCTCCTCAATCGTGCTTGATGCACTGGATGAATGTGACGAGGAAACCAGAAGCCAACTCATGGGCTGTCTAAGCGAGATTTTGTCACAATGCCGAAATCTAAAGGTTTTTGTCTCGAGTCGGATGGAGTACGACATCAAGCAATACTTCAACTCCCAGCCAACCATAACGATCTATGCGACGGACAATGAGGACGATATTGAGTCATTTATCCGAGAAAAGCTCACAAGCGATGTCCACTGGAACAATTTAGATAGAGAACTTCGAGAAGAAGCTCAATCTACAATCTTGGCAAAGAGCGACGGCATGTTCCAGTGGGCTAACCTACAGGTTCAAGAGCTTCTCAGAATAAAGCACCTGAGTAACAAGGCGATAAGGGAATGCCTTCGCACTTTGCCAGCCACTCTCGATGAGACATACGGGAGAATCTGGGAGAAAATAAACAAACAGAACCCATCCGATCGGAAAATTGGCAGACGCGCTATCAAGTGGGCTCTCAGTATCAACTTGGCCGACGACACGAGATCGGCATTTCTAGAAGCCCTAAGGGTCGACGACGAAACAGAGAGCCTCTACGACATTGACGAGACGCCGCCTGTCCGAGCCATCGAAGGAGCTTGCTACAATCTCTTAGTTCATGAACCAGTAGTACGGAGATGGCGATTTTGTCATCTGTCCGCAGCAGAATACATGGAATCAACAATCATGTCTGAACTCCAGCCACATCGTGATGCCGCGATAGCATGCCTCAAACACCGTCTTGATGGAGTAGATTCGAGATCCAGACCTTCCTTTATTCTTGATACGGATGATTTCCCCTCATATTCTCGTCGGAATTGGCATTACCACGTGAAACATTATCACGATAGCTCAGCTACGAAGCACCCACAGCTGGAGCACCTCATCGAGCGGTTCTTGGGTTCAGCAACTCAAAGTGGGAGAATGTATTCTATTTGGGCGCATGAAACGGGGCTACCTGATTTGCAGCCATCATCGTCGCCTCTTTTCGGGATCGTCAAATTCGGCTTATGCAGGGTGTTGAAGGATTGGTACGACCATGACTCAAGCATTGATCTCGACGTACAAAATGAGGATGGTCATTCTCTGATTGGCTTAGCGGCGAGAGAATGCCATTTCGATCTTTGCCGATTCCTAGTTGCAAAGGGTGTGAACATCGAAGCAGGGACACGAAGCCCCCTTTCTCTCGTGTGCTCTTATAGCTCATTGATACGGAGCTCACCTCCCAACGGAGTGAAAAGAAGGCGGCTGGCCAGGCCAGAAGAAACGGATGAAACAGTGAAAGACATGGCAACATTTCTTATCGATAATGGCGCAGACGTTAATGCCCGAGACAGAGGAGGATGGACGCCATTAGACTTGGCCTTCATTGAATTAAATGAAGATGTAATCCCAATGTTAGTCAAGCACAATGCAGAAATCGGACACTTCACGAACAGCCTGATAAATGCCGCAAGGCTCGTTAATCCGGATTGGGTCAGGTATTGTCTCGATTCGGGTGCGGCAATCCATGACCACGAGATATGGGATAACCCCTTGTTCTATGCCATAGTAGACAAGGCGAAACCAATGAAGCTGCTTCTCGAGGCTGGTCTAGACGCCAACTATATTCCACGCGGCGAAGATACTCTGTTGAATAGGGCGGCTTCCAGTGGAAACCTTGAGTTGATATCAGTGCTGATCAAGGCCGGCGCAAACCCAAATCTGAAAGGGGTCAAGAAAGGGCCTATATATAAAGCTACAACCGTAAGGTTCTTCAGAGGGAGTGAACTCATCAAGAAGCTCCTTCATATTGGTGCCGCTATCAACCCACCTGAAGGTATTTCTCCTTTGGTTGGTGCTTCGTCTTGGGGAGATGCTCTATCCAGGAGCAAGCTCCTCCTTGATTTAGGGGCAGATCCCAACCACATTCGCCATTTCGCATCTCCTCTCGTCTGGGCAGCAATATCTGGAGAAAAGGCGCTGTTTCAGCTTTTACTCAGAGCAGGTGCAGATCTTAACAGCAAAGACGGCTTCGAAAACGCTCTTCTCATCGCATCAAGATGCCCCGAGAACTCTGCTCGGCAGAGGCTCTTAGATGCTGGAGCAGATCCAACTCTCACCTTCGACCAGGGACCCGGGAGTGCTCTCGCCTTTGCAGCCTTCATCGGTAACATTGAAGCTTGTTCGTTTTTACTAAATCAAGAACTTGGGGTCGACGTCAACGCAAAGCTGAATGGCTGGTTCGAGAATGTTTTGCTTGCTGCTATTACACCAGCACATAACAGAGGCCTTAGGGTACGTAAAACAAAGAAAACGACCTCCAAAATTGTCTCACTTTTATTTCAAGCTGGAGCCAACATCCTGATCCCTATATACAAAACACTACCACTTTCTCTTCCTGCGATAAATGTTAGGAGTCGAGAGTATTTCGTAAGCAGTGCTAGAGCCACATTTGGATTTTCCAGACATTGGCTAAGCATCGTATGGGATATAGGTTCTTCACCTAGGCCCCATCCAGCCCTCTCCGTGGCGCTGCGACGTTATAAACTTCCATCTTCTATCCCGCCCTCGGCGAGCATACTTATCAAATTCACCTCAATCTCGGCGCCTCTATATATAGAATATGCTGGTATCTTCATATTCTCTAATGCATCTACATGCTTCATATTTGACAAAACCAAATCAAAATTTGTGCATTTTGGAGAGACTCCGATAACCGCCCAAATTGCTGCATTTGAAGGCACTGGAAAGAGTTGCGAGAGTCTTTTCCCTCTCATATCTTTCATGAAGCCTCTACTCAATCAGATCATTGGACTGGCCGTATTCATAGGATTTGTCTTATACTTCAGGTATACATTGCTGCGTTCTGAGTAAAATTGGCGGAACAAACCGACGTACTCGAGCTGCAATGTTTCCCCACACGGAATATGAGAAAGAGAAGGCCAAGACATAGCGCTATGTGGTCCAGACAGTTGCTGCCGCGGCGTTCTCACCAGATCGCAAATACTTTGGGGCGGGCTCGGAATCCAGTACTATGGCTCTATGGGACTTGAAAGACTGGCAGATCAACCGGGTAACGTTGAATTTGAGACACCCAAGTCTCATACTGCTTATTTGCGAGACTTCGACTGGTATTATTGGATTATTGGGGCCAAGAATAACTAAGAGAAGATACCTTAATCGTTGTTGATGTATACATTTTATACTGCCAATTATTCTAATCATCGTAAAAAGTGGTCGAGTTATAACGCCTGCTTCAATCTGATATCTCATATCTTCTGTCACCTAGCTAAGAATTTAAGGAAAATCTAAGGGCACGACACTAGGATTATTTTGATTGCTTTCTCAGCCACCAACGAAAGACTCTTCGTGTCTGCTATTCAGCACGGTACATCGAGACCAAGGGATTCTGTCTCTAACACTATACAAACAAAGGACGAGGTCCATACTTATGGCGTGTTATAAATCGCATTTTCGGTCAACAAGGTGGCAGCATCCTGTCGAGCTTCAACTAGAGTTTGGAGCCTCAAAACGATATATATAAGGAAGCATTCGATTGCCAAAAATCCAAGATGGTATTTACAACTTCTCTGTCTCGAAAGTATATCTTCGCAACATTGAAAATTTCGTATTCTGAGGTTGGAAAGTCAAGACTAGTATTCTTGCAACACCAAACAATGGACGAATCTTGTCCCTATGCTCGCAGAAAGTCGACTAATAAATGCCAGTCTTGCCAGATCAGAGCAGGATAGGAAAACCCAGTGGCTTCACTATTACGGTGTGTAACTGGAAGCCTGGGATCGGTCGTATGATGCAGCGAATCCGACATGTCGAACCGTGATCGTGGCGTGAGTCTATATTAATCGATCCTTGTACAGAGGCCCCTCACCATGCTCCAACCCCTGCGCGACCCCTTCAATCTATTACGTCTTCAAAATTGGTCAAAATCGGACGGCTCCAGGATGCGTACTCCCCGGCATACATTCACCAGCATCACCAACCAGGCATGCGTCGATTGTCTGTATTTATACAATCCAAAGGTTTGATTTATATATGCTGTTCACCCTGGTGGGTTATATCATGTAGCGCAGACAAGAACATTGTGCCCATATGTCAAGTAATATTTAACGGCGATACCATCACCTCCCCCTGGTATCATCGCGCGCGTCTCGGTAAACACGGACCATCCACACAAGGGTACATCACCCACCCCCACAAACCGAAAGGATCGAGGTTCGTCCGTTCGGTTATTTTCGAAATTCTTCCTTCCCTTTATATGGTCGTCGTCGGGAAATCGTGTATACACACATGTCCACAACACCATAGTGAAGGATGCTGCCGATATGTACGTATGCGTCTCGTCAAATCAATGCGCACGGGTATCTCTCAATCCACCTCCTCTGTATTCAAAAAAGGACAATTCAATGTATCCAAGCGCGGAAGTCACGGCATCATGACACAACAGGACACACAGGTCAACGCAACACATGACATCGTTCTTCTTCGGTCTAGTCCTCGTGGGTTGGGGGGCCGGCATAGTTGCGGTATCCCCACATCCAGTACCAACCACCAGAGATGAGCATCGCAGCCACGAACACGACAGAGGCATAGTTCACGGTCTCAACAGTCGCGGGCACCACGGTAGGCATACAGAACAGCGGCAGGGCCAGGCAAGACCAGGCTATACAAGTAAGCATCATGTCCTGTCACGGCACGCAGGGGAACAAAGCAGGGAGAATTTTCATCATCGTCTTCTTACCCAAGACGGGGCGGGGAGAAGACAAAGCACTTTCAGAGCAGCACTGGAGACGAGTGAGATGTGGACTTACCAAGAGCAACAATGTTGCAAACGAGACCAACGGGGCCAAGGTAGAACTGGCCCTCGCGGATCTGCTTGCGGCCAGTAGCGAGACTGATGGCAATGGGGGCGGCGTATGAGGCAGTCAGGCACATGACACCAACACCAGAGAAGGCGTTGAAGGCGGCAGTGGAGCCGAAGTAGATGAGACCAAGGAGAAGTTGGACAACCATGCTGAGCATCATGGCGTTCAGGGGCACGTCGAGCTTGTCGTTGACCACCATCCACCACTTGGCGCCGGGAATGGCACCGTCACGGGCAAACGCCCAGGTGCAGCGAGAGGCAGCGGTTGTGCAGGCGACACCACAAAGGACGGCGAGGACGATAAGAGGGGTCAAAAGACCGATGGCACCGCCGCTGGAGCCGGTAGCCACCTTGAAGATGTAGGGCACTGGCTGGGCGAGGCTGATGAGCTCGACGATATCGGGCATGACAAAGACAATGGGGATGAGGAAGAGGAGACCGCAGGCCGTGTTCATGAACAGGGTGGCGACCATGGCACGGGGCACCTGGATAGCAGGATGCTGGACCTCTTCGCACATGCTGTTGGGTATCAGGTTAGCCAGCTGCGTCACGAAACGAAGCTCAATTGGTGTAGACAACGTACGAAATGATCATGCCGGTGGCCGAGGTAGCGTAGCCGGCGTGGAGCAGACCGACACAGAAAGACCATCCATCAGGCCAGCCAGAGTTGTTCTCGAAGTGAGTGAAGACCCACGAGGCATCGCGGCGGCCACCTTTGGCCATAACGAGGATGGTAACAACCATAGCAACAACACCAATCAGAGTCCAGAAGATGGCGGCGGTCTAGACACGTTCCAGTCAGCAAATATCATTTCACAATCCTCCTCTACGCAGTTCGACTAGCACGGCAAACAGCGCAATCGATCGGCCATGCAAGAAAAGACAAGATGGAGGAGTGGAGGCATCAATTGGTCACTCACATCAAGGATAGGCAGCCACTTGTTACCCAGAGAGGAAATGGCATTGCACAGCAAGGTAATACCAAAGAAGATCAGGTAAACCTGGTAGGGCTCGCCAGCAAGAATACCGACACCAGGCTCGGACTCGAAAACGTTGATGCATCCGACAAGGAAGAGGGTGGTGCCGAAGTTGACGGACAAGGTAATTGTGATGTTACCGACAACGTAGAGCCACCCGCAGATCCAACTAGCGACACGGCGCCATTTGCTAGGAGCCAACATAAACGCCTGGTAGTACACACCTAAATTCCGGGAAAGAAACCTAAATCAACATCCACGATCACACGAGGGCGCATTGAACCTGTCGCGGTTTGGGGGGGGAATTTACCTCCAGCAGTAGGGTAAACACTTGTGATTTCACCGAGGGACGCAGCGACGCAGATGACGCAGATACAGACGGCCAGCCATCCCCAGATAATGGCGACAGGCCCGCCGCCGACCAGAGGGTAGTACAGAGTAGTGGCCAGACCGTAGGGGACGGAGGCGAGGACGAAGGACATGAAGGCGACCTGGAGGGTGGATCGGTTGCGGTTCAACTCGGGCTTGTAGCCCAGGTTGGCGAGGGCATCGTCGGCATTGTTGTCGACGACTCCTGGCAACTGGTCGAACTTGGTGTCGGGTTTGGATGAGCTCGACATGGTGAGCAGTTGATATCGCGGCGACGAGGTGATTGCGTCCAAAATCGGGAGGGCGCGAGGTCGTCGACCGGGCGCGCCAACGTTCGGCTTGCGGGAGACGGCGTTTTTGAATTAAAGGGCCACCCAGATAAGGTTGCTGCGATGCGGAGGGGGGTGAATCGCGGAGGTGGATAGGAGGGAAGGGGGAAGGAAAAAGAAAAGAGAGGAGGGATCGGATGGGTAATTAATAAAAAGGAAGGATCAGATGGGTGAAGCTGCCAGGCGACGAAGCTGGGATTGGATGCGCACGACCAGGTGTTTATAGCTACCACTGATAAGAGGAATTTTGCCCCTGTGGGGTCGCTCGCACACAGCAAATTGACCTGAGGCTTTATCCTCCGGCCAGCTGTAGCGTCCTGAACTCCATTCACATGGTGCGACAATGTGAAGATGGCGAGAATGGGGTGGATTTGAGGTGGATTTTTCTAATGAATGCCGATTTCCATTACGAACCCGCCCAATCAAACCGACAGCGCGGGCGGCGATGGTCTAGAGAGTCAGAGGGGTGGGAGCAGTCGGGTACCACGAGCGCTACATGGCAGGTACTTGAGTGCAGGGGGGGCAGCCCTGGCAGTCTTTTGCAGGCAGTGACGCGCTGTGGCTCGCTCTGTGGCTCGCTGACTCTGGCGCTGAGTTTGTGCGTCGGGGGTCCAATGACTAGCGTGCGATGCGTGGACTGGCTTGGACTGATCTGATGGGGGTCGGCCTGCAGCCGTCGACGTCAGTGCTTGGGGCTGCTGAAGCCTCCCACTGGCCGTGCCCTGGACTGTTGGTGGTGCGCTGTGGCGGGCAGCCCGAGAGTTGGCCGCTAGTCCCAATACAGCGTCCCAGGCCGTTGCCAAGCTAGCCTAACACTCAATGGAACTGCCCCTACGCGAGGCCCTTCGCCCACCTTAGGCAATAGCCCGCAAGCGCAAGACTCCAGATGTACACCCGCGGTAGCGCCAGTGCCCCAGACCGAATCCACCGTAGAACACCTCCCGAAGGTTCGAAACAGCTGGGCGATCGCTCGAGAAGACGGCGTCGCTGTCCTGCATGCGACGCAATGCAGCGCGCCGTCATGCTGCATGTCTCCTTCTCCTGCCTGCAGCGACCCCGCGACGCTGCCCTGGACTGCGCAGCCCTGTCGGCCCTCCATCGCGCTGTCGCTTCCCTCCTCTGCTATCTACAACCTACCAGGTCAGATGTCATATCTCTGGCTGTTCTGGGCCCCCCTGAACTCTCGGCTGGGGAACGAGGCCTAGACTGCTAGTTCTGCAGCATCTCCCGTGCGATTCCACCGTCAGCTGCGATACACACCCACCTGCAACCAACCGCATTTTAGCTGCCTCGGCCCTCCTACGAGCGACCGGCAGT